GCTTTCATTTGAGGAGCACTTCTCTCGTGGCTATACTCATGTCCATGCAGAGTGCGTCGCCGATCAAATCCGAGGTAAACTGGATGGTCGGGCAGAAGGTGGTGCTGACGACCACCTCGTACATCGATGACGATCCGGACAGCTTGAGTGTTTCAAGAGCAAAACCCCCAAGAATCCGGAAAGAAGCTGGCCTTTAGGTTCTCACAACGTGCCCGAGTCTCTTTGCTCAGAAAGCTGACTCGAGCCCGTTGCCAGAACGACCACCAGAACGAGGTCCGGGAGATCGCGGCGGCCACTCGCTGTCAGGGCTTCGGATTTGAACCCACGATTTCTTGTGGGTTTCGGTGAGGCCCCCGACAGGTGAGACTTTGTCCGAGCTTGAAGGACATTGGGGAACTTGCTTGGAAAGGGGATGACATCAGAGATCCACGCAAGAACCGCAAACCGTAAAGGTCCGCCCATGCAGGAAATCACTCGCCCTCTCTGTCTCTCTGTGCAAGAGCTCGGGGACCCTTCCGATTTTTTCCTCCGGCTACCCGGACTACCCCGCTTACGTGTCACCTCCTCCTCCATCTCCTGTGGCGGGCTTGCATCGCGCAGTTGCTACCGTCAGCCTCCTGACATCCTACACCCTCGAGCGCCAAACCCCTAAGAACCGAAACCCAAGACGTGCACCCTACTCCCCTAAATTACTAAACCCTTCTCACCCTAAATAAACAGAGAAGGAAATGGTGCTGGCCAATAAGTCAAACACCTCGACGCCAAACTCCGTCCGACCCCTCCCACTTCAAGAAAAAAGCCAGAAAAACATCTTTTAAAATCCAAATCCTACACCCCGAAAACGCCCTACAAAATCCGAGGTGAGCGGCTCCCAGATCACCTTGACTCAGGGCCTTCAGTTCGGGCACTACGGTGGGCCGGAGCCACTTCGGCCTACAGGGTTTTCAAGGATTTCTACTCGTGAGGGGTGTGAACAATGAATACGATTTCGGGTCTTGGACAAGTTATGTTTTACGACTGCAATCGGCCGTCTCAGACAAGCGACATGCTTGTCTTGCTATGTACCAGTGGTTGCGGGTTGATGCTCTCTTGCTACCGTCCTTACCTCGGTCTTGTCCGAGGTACGCTGCAGAAG